CGACCAAGTTCCAGGGGACTATAAGCATCTCGGGAAATGTCCTGTAACTGTGGTGAGTCACCTGTCCTCTTGATTAAGGAGGCCATGGAGACCCCACCAAAAGGACTTGAACCAGTGTTCAGTCTGCAAAGAGGGTCAACACAGAGGAAACATTTCCTCCTTGCTTCCAAGTGAAGCAGACCATGATCAAGCAGGACCTTTGACTTATCTTCACATAGATGGAACTGGTTTTTAAAAAAAGGAGCCAGGGGCTCCTCCAAAGCCCATGTAAACTCTGAGAAACAGATCCTCAAATGGCCTTTAGAGTGAAAATAAATTGGTTTATCTGGGCCAACTGTATGGTCTTAAACACCCAAAAGGAAAGTATAACCAAAGATTAAAGGGATGAATATAATTCTTTAAGAGTCGTGTGTATAGCTAAAGGCTACATAACAAGAAACAATGCCAGACAGGAGACACCTTCCTTTGAGTTGTTGGCCAGGGTTGCCCAAGAGCCTCCCAGACAGTAACCCAGCATAGAACTGGGAAAATGAACAGCAAATTCCAATCTTATCTAAAGGAATATTGACAACTGGTTGCTGCTAGATGAGGAACAGCTGATCTTCCTGAAACAAGGTGCTCTAGATTGACTGGTTAGATTCAGCAGATGGCCAAGCACTGGGCAACAGCTGGGAGCACAGGCAACACAGTGGACAGTAATAGAGATGACAGAGTATATGGGCTCTAGTTGGGGGCGGGGGGACTATGGGAGAGTGCCTTTTGCTGGTAGCTACAAGGGTATAGTGATGAATAAGATTGTTTGGGATGTTCTGTATGAAATACACACACACACAAATCAATAAAAAAGTTATATTTGAGGAAGAAGCATAAAATTTTGCTTTATGTTAATTAGTAGATGTGAAAAACATTACTATTGAAATCTATCTGATGACTTTATATCCATGTTCAGGTGCCAAGGATCTCAGAAAGTAACCGACTGTGACTCATTATAATCAGATACATAGAAATTAAAGATGCATGTAAAAATATCTAAATGTTAGTAGCATTTTAAATGAGTTTACATTTTAAAATGAAATGGAAATCTGTTTTAAAGGTTAAAACCTCATTCAATTTTATGTCTTATAGGGTTTGTACTGAGTACAATATTGTAGAACTGTATTAATTTAACTGTGAACCTAAACATTTACAGTCAACTTTGAAGAAAGAGATGCATCTTTGCTCTGGAAATTGTTATTGAATATGTTAATGCTGTAATGAAATGCTTCTAATCATATGATTATTAACTGAATAATTAAAAAAAAAGATTACTGGCTGCTTTTGCAGAGGACCTGGGTTGGATTCCCAGCAGTCATATGACTGCTAACAACCATCTGTAACTCCAGTCCAGAGGAATCTGATGCCCTCTTCTGACCTCTGGTGACATGGCAAGACATGGGTACACGCAGGCAATACGCTCATATACGTTGTGGAAAAACACAAACCAAAGTTTCTGACATGGATAGTTTGAATAGAGCTGTGTTTTCTTAATCTTTGAGGGAATGGAAGGTGTCAAACCCTTTGAAGATTTTTAAATATTTTAAAAAATTAATTAAGTTTTAGTTTTAGTTGTGTATGTACTTTGCCTACCTATGTTTGTGTACCATGTGCTTGCCTGGTACCTACAAAAACATAGGAGAGCATCAGATCCCTTGGAACTGGAGTTACAGATGTTTAGGAACTGCCATGTGGGTACTGGAAACCAGGCTCATGTCCTCAGCAAGAGCAATGAATTTTCTTAACCACTGAGCAATCTCTCCAGCCCCCTGCCCCACACCTATTTGAAGTTTTAAATTTTTAATGTGATAATTTGGTCAATTTGACTCAATCTAGAATAAAGCTGGTTAGGGACTCTTAATGAAAGTTTGTCTAGATTAGTTTGGCCGATGTATACGCTTTTGAGGGGCTCTCTTAATCGAGTTAATTAAAGTTGGCAGACAATCCTGAATGTGGGTGACACCATTTCTTGGGCTGGGCCATGGACTGAATTAAAAGGAGGACGTGAGCTGAGTACAAGAATGCACGTGTTAATGCAATGCTCTCTGCTTTTGACAGTGGATGTAATAATATAACTAGCTGCTTCAAGTTCCTGTAACCTTGGCATCCTGCGATGACAGGCTGTGACCTGGAACTGTGAGCCACTTAAACCCCTCTTCCTTTAAGTTGCTTTTCTCAGAGTATTTTATCATAACAACAGGAAACAAAACTAAAACAATTTCTGTGTTAAAAATAGCATATGAGGGCTGGAGGGACAGTGTAGACATTAAAGGCTTAAGGTTAACAACCAAAAAGTAAAAATAGCATATGAGGGGTTGGAGAGATGGCTCAGCGGTTAAGTGTACTGATTGCTATTGCAGAAGACCCGGGTTAAATTCCCTGCATCCACATGGTGACTAATTCCAGTTCCAGGGGATCTGACACCCTTTTCTGTCCTCTGCAGACATTGCATGACAGGGGTACACTTATAAACATTCAGGCAGTACACTCATACACATAGAAAATGAAAATAACAAAATAATAATAACAATAGCATATGAAATCATCTAAGGATTAAATATAATAAGAACTCACACCATAATTCCATTAAAAATAAAATAAGGAGCCAGACCTGGTTGCACACATCTTTAATTCCAGCTCTTGAGAGGCAGAGGTGCTAGGCCAGTCTGGTCTACATAGTGAGTTCCAGAGCAGCTAGAGCTACAGGGAAACCCTGTCTCCAAAATCAAAGTGGCAAAGACACAAAAAGCAAGCAAGCAAGCAAGCAAATAATAAATAAATAGATAAGTAAATAAAGTAATTAAATAATGAGGGCCTACAAGATGGTTTTGGAGGGGAAAAGAAAGATGCTTTCCCCAAGACTGTCAACTTGAGTTTGTCCCTGGACCCCATATGGTGAAAATAGAAAATCAGTTCACACAAGTTGCCCTCTAATCACCACAAATGCACACCCATGCTCATGCACTCTCAAACACACAAACACACTATCAATCAATAAATGGATTTTAAAATGTAAAGACTATATAAAATTGAAATAAATAATTTAAATAAAAAGATATGGAGAACTAAGGGGCTCAGTGTTGTTCTGTAAGTAAAAGCAGCAGAATCAGCTGGCCGAAGCCTGGAATTGTACACCCTTCTGCCGCAGGAGGCCCTGCAATTACCAGAGGGCAGAGAGGCCTTGCTTACACTTACCTGCTGCCACCTACTTGACTGTGGGAATACATATAACATAGGGTATTTTGTTCAGTTAAGTGTTTACAGCAGTGGCTTATCTGTCCTAAAGATTGGAGGGTTTTTTTGTTAAAAGAAGTAAGCCTGGGGCTAGAGAGATGGCTCAGCAGTTAAGAACACTGATTGTTCTTGCAGAAGACCCAGGTTTGTAACCGCAGAACCCACTATGGCAGCCAACAACTGTTTGTAACTCCAATTCCAGGGAATCTGACTCCCTCTTCTGTCCTCCGCTGGCATTGCATGACACAGGTGCACTTACATACAGGAAATATACACATGCACACACATTAAAAACAAAAAAGAGAAGTGAGCCCATAGGTTATTTCTACTCCATTCATTTCTATTACATTAAACATTGCAAAACCTCAAGCATATTTATGGCTTCAATATAATTTACAAATATGAGAAAACCCTAACTGGTGATTTTTGAAATCAATTTCTTAAGCCCCATGCAATAGAGGCAGCACAGCCTGCAGAGAATGACCTGGAGAGTCAGCAGGAATTTGAACACTAGACCTTCCATCCACCAGCTGTAAGATGTAAAGAACCAAACTGAACAGTCAAGACCCAGAGTCATTAGCAATAAATGGAACGAAGTTGGAGTTATGTTACACTGACATATTTAGTGGTGCCTGTTACTATTCTGAATATTAAAGTTAACTCAAATATGATTTTACTTAATACACAGTAGCTTTTTAAAGATTAAATTTAGAAGAGACAAACAGAGCAGTTCAGAAAATAGGTAATCAAACACAATTTATTTTATAATTTCTAAAAATGGAATCCTGATAACAACTACCAAATGAAATTTTCTTGTTTTATTTATTTGTGATCAAAATAATCATATATTAAGTATACTTACCAACAACTTCATGATGTTTGATTTAAAGAACTTTTTCCAAAAGAAATCTGGCCAAATATTTTATTATTAAGCAAGACTCCACCGTATCATAGGAATAAATGAAGAATTTAGATATATGAAACCATAAAGCATAGGAATTATGATTAAAAAGGTAAACTGTAATCTGTAAATTTTAAATATTTGAAATATTCCTGATTCCTGTGTTTAAAGATATATTCTTCTATTGATTTTCTTTTTGATGCAAGTCTTGAAAATCTTTAAATGGGAAAATGTAATCTATAAAAATATTGCGACTGACCACCACCACCACACCCACAAAGTAATTTAATCTCCTTTTCTTCGACTTGATTTTGTGTATGTGGGTTTACATGGGTTCATGGGAGGAGTACAAACATGTGAATGCCAGGACATCTTCATGTGTTTTCCACAGATAGCATTCACCATTGTTTTGTGACAACTTCTCACTGGGCTACAACCCACCATGAAGGTGAGCCTGGGTGGCCAGTGAGTCCCAGGGCTCCAAGTGCCTTCATCTTCCCAGGACAGGAAAAACAAACATGTACCTGAAGGTTTGGCTTTCATACATGGGTTCTGGGGATCTACCTCCGGGTTTCATGGTTGCATAGCCAGTGCCATAAGGACTGAGGTATTTCCCAGCTCCTTATTCTTAGATGTTTTACTCAACTTCCATAAAATGTATTTAAATTTGGTCATGCTAAATATTTACACCTCATTACCATATTTATCAATGATTGAATTTGGTATTTATTACTAAGATTGAAAATCATTATTCTTCTACAATAAAAAGCTTTTAAGTAAAATAAAAAATGATATAGCATGTTTGAGAGAGAAGAGTTGGACCCATTCTTACCTGTCTACAAAGACACTGACAGGATAGTCCAGGGATGAGGTATGAGCATCCCACAAGTACTTCAAGAGCCCCTCAAAGTCACTGGATGGTGACTGCATGTACTGAAGCAGAGGAGAAAGCACAATGTGAGCAACTGTTCCTCAATTACGACCTGGTTCAGGGATGTAGGAGCACTAGTCTACAGGAAATGAGAGCATTGTTCTAAGAATGAATCTATGCTGGACCCTAGTGTCTGAGATGCAGAAAAGGGGACAATATCTTATACATTTCAGTGAATGATATTCATTCAGCAAAAAAGATCTTTGTCTAGAGACTACATATTTATATAGTCAGGAGTATTATTATTTTTCCCATCGCTATTATTAAAATTCTCCAAGTATATTGAGTGTAAAAGGAAAAACTTTAAAAGTTAAATTTAAGTATATCTAAGACACTGAACTAACCTTTTAAAGAACTAGTAAATTTATCTATCTGCAAATTACTAAAATTTAGCCCTATGTTTGATTAATATATTTTATGTTGATCACTGAATGGTTAATTCACAACAATATATGGTTGTTTAGTTTATTCATATGTGAGCATTTATTAATTCAGTTTCAGTAATTTGGCAGACTACTGGTCTAAAATCAGTTCAATAATCACATTTCTTAAATATTTCACAGCTGCTCTGATGTTCCAATTTAGCATTCATGCCTATATCCCATATGTCAAAATATTTGTATGCTTACCATTTGTAGTATAACTTACTTGAAGTGAGAACAGAAACTTTTTTGTAATGTCTTATGGAGATTTGGGGTTTTGATGGCATATACTATATATTTACAACACATATGGTTAAAGTATCTGATGTATACATTTTCATATTAAGGAAAATAGTATGCAATTCATTAAGCAACTTTTCATAAGAGTATTAGACAATGAAAAGAATTTCCTTGTCTTATCTTAAGAGTATGAACTATAAAACATAAAGAAGGAACCTGAAAAAAGGCTCTCCATCCATCCATTATTTCAGGGACAAATGACTGACAGCCAGAAACATCATAACAAAACTTCGCCTCATCCTCAGGTGGTGGCAAAATCTTGATTTGGGTTGATGATATGTTCAGTATGCCAGAATCAATCGCAGCAAGGAAGGGAGGCACACTCAGATAATAATTTATGTCTGTTAGAACACAAAAGGCTTATTAATACAAGCAGTGATGATTCCAAGAACACATTTAAAAAATATTTTATTTATTATTTTTATTTTATATGTATGAGCGTATTGCCTGCATGTATGTGAGTGCACCCGTGTCATGCAATGCCACAGAGATCAGAAGAGGGCTTCAGATTCCTCTGGAACTGGATTTAAGGATGGTGTGTAGCCGCCATGTGGGTGCTGGGAATCGAACCCAGGTCCTCTGCAAGAGCAGTCAGTGCTCTTAACCACTGAGCCATCTCTCCAGCCCCCAAGAACACATTTTAAGGAGCTAAAAGTCCTTAAGGAAATTTTACAGATTCAAAAACATGATAAAGATCAGCAACTAAAAATATTGAACAAAAATCCACATATTTTAAATAACACTAAAATTAAGAATAAATACACAATAAATTAACTTATTCACAAGGAAATTTATAAAGAAAAAGCTATTTTAATGAGTTGGAAAAAATCCTATTTTAAAGGATTAAGAAAATAATGAAAGAAAAACTATCAAACTGTTCATAGAATGACAGAGACGTCTTCAATGACATTGCCATGTGGGTTTATTTTCTTTTAAAATACACAAACATAAATGTAGCTTTGAAAAATGTTTGCAAAACTCTTTTAGTATAATTTTTGTACAAAATATCAATAAGTCCTTCATTTATGGCAATCAAATACACCTGTTTTTAAGCTTTCCAGGTGCAGGCAATCCAGTTCGGCTGGTTTAAACAGTTCAATTTATTTACTTATCAGGCTTAAACTGATTCTTGACACTCAACAAGGCTAAGCCAAACAAACTTGTAATTCTAGAGCCATTGAAAATTCTGTTTATGAGTTTTCAAGAGAATGACTCAAATTAGTAGGATGAAAACATACTAATTATGAGTCATTAGATGGTGAAATTTAAAATATTTTATTTAATATTTTGTATTTTATATGTATGAGTGCATTCTCTGGATGTGTGTAAGTGCACCCGTGTCCTGCAATGTCCAAAGAGTTCAGAAGAGGACATCAAATTCCCCTGGAACTGGAGTTACAGGCTATTGTCAGGTGCCATGTGGGTGGCTGAGAATCACACTGGGGCCTTCTGCAAGAACAGCCAGGGTCTTGACTGCTGAGCCATCTCTCCAGCCCCAAGAAGATGTAATTTAATGTGATATTATTTTCAATCATTCCAAATTTTTCCAAGAAATTTCTTTGCAAATTAATTTCGTGACCAAAACATAACAAATTACAAAACTCTTTCTACTTTCTTTTGGCATTGCATACAGAACTAAAATTTTAGATTCTATACTGACACAAATGAAGTGAAATATTACTCTGACATGGACATGAGTTTCAGTGTTCAGCACCTTTGGTCTGAACAAAATGGAAATGAATTATTTTCTTGGTGTCACTTCTCATTCAAAGATTCTGTGCCGTTTTGAGAACCTACCGTTTCATTGCCAATGCTGGTCCCTAGAGACCATGATCCTTCAGTTCCCTGGCACAGACTTTCTGTGAAAATCTAAATATGTCAGTATAAATTGTATTCCATGTGATTGTCCAATCCAAAATATGATATTGAGGCCACTGTATATGATGCAGTGTATTTGTCATTACAAAGGAATGGCACAGTTTTAGTTTTCTATCTTTAAGAGTTAGGTTAAGCGTATTCTGTGATATAAGGGCGATATTTTTACTCTTTAAGTGAACTTACCAGCCCACCAGCTGTCTACAGAGATGCATAGAGTGTCTCCAGGGTAATAGCCACAGTCTGTCCTTCTGGTGGGATCAGCTAATCTGCCTAGAGGACAGAGAGTACACAGATGTATTTATTTATTATGCACGTTTTAACTGCTTGTAATTGTCAGTTAGTTACATACATTTAATATATAGTTGCACAAATATTTTTGCTGAATTACTAGTGTTGTAATTCCAATCACAATTTACATTTTACTTTCCATCTTTCAGCAGTTTCTTGTCTTCAAACACATCTAACTTTTAGTTTTTATTTGTAGGTCATACGTAGTTTTGCTTATATCAATATTCACATTTTACTGCCTTCTCCTTCTCCTGATCAGAACTATGGAAACTGTGGTCTAGAGTTAAAATAACACTTTGTTCTATAATTACTTGTTTGTCATTTTCTATACAACACAATTTTGTGTCTGTTTCCACCGCCATAAGGTGAGTATAAAAATATACCATAAGATTGCTGTACAAGAAAAAAAACCAAAAAATTTTACATGGTGATTATATATTATATAAACATAAGGAAAATATGATTTTTTTCTTTCAAAAATAAAATACTTCTCTCCTCTCCCCACCCCCTTGATGGATTAGTAGCATAGGTTGAGCTACAGGCACTAATCTTTCATATGTTACCAGAAGGAAATATCTTTTGATTCACAAACACTTTGTCCCCAAGCAAAGCTTCTACATATTAGGTCATATAGTAGAAAGAATTTCTTTCCAAAACAAAGCAACTGTTTGCACAGACCACCATTACCAATGCAGCTCATTTATAATTTTGTGGCTGTGATCGGGTAATTAGAATGAACACTCAAAAGAAGCTCAGTTTGATTTGCCATCACCTCCTGCCTCTGATATATATCCCTGATCTGTTCAGCTTGGTACATAGGAAGGAATGTGGATGTGTCTGGTAGAAGGAGTCAATCCATAAGGGAAGGACTTGTGGAAAGGTCCAGTAGAAACAGAAAAATAGTGATTAGGAGGAGGAAAAGCAAAGGAAAGGAATCCATTCCTCCATCCCCCCCTCCCCCAGTGCATAGGCTATAAAAAAATCTCATTTTCCAAAGCCTTCCAGGTTAAATTGGTAGATCATAAGATTAAGGGTCTTTTCTTACCTGACCTGTATTGCCACCCATGCTGCAGAGGCAAACCCCACAAAATATTTTGTTCATTTTCTGGAGCAAACTTTGCAAAGTATTTGGCTGTCTGGTTCAACAAGATTCTATACATCCCCATTCTGTCAGTGAATACCCAAGGGTCAATGATATATTTTCCATTCTCCACCCTGTAGTCACTGAACTGTTCAGGACTCTCATCCCAGAGAGGGGGATACAGAGTTGAGAGGTTAGAATCTTGTGCTAAAGCAGCAGCAGCTAGGCAGCCAACCAGTGCCCAGGCCCAGAAAGCCAGGAAAGCCATGGCACCCAGATGGGAATTCACAGTGTGTCCAGGCTTTTATTGGAGAAGAGAGGAGGAAGTCATAATATTTTCTCACTGCCAATAGGTTGTTCAAGTTTATGATTAACACTGGCTTCTTCCAAGATGTCATAACTTTGTTGACTATTTTCAATACCATTTCTCAGGAATGGTCAGATTCATCTTTCAGATTTTCCCACAGTGCTGGAAATAATTTCCACTGCAAATGTTTGGTTTACTAACTCCACAGTAGTAGTAACTACAGTTGGCTTTTTTCCTGCCCAAAGACATTCTGTGCTGCCAGAGTGATTTTTCTTAAAAAACAACAACAGCAACAAAAAAAACCCCAACAACAACAAAAAACCCTGAACTTGTGTTCCCATCAGCCTCACAACTTGTTTCACCACCTTCAGTAAAAAGTTTTTTACTTCTTCTGTGGGAAACTGGAATTCCCAAACAAGGATTGGCATCCCTCTCTGTTATCCTATCTGTCACTCTACATCCATGAGACAGCCTTTTATGAAGCAACATAATCCTTTCTTCTGTTTTGGTAAATGCTTTCCCATAAAGGCTTGAGCTAGCCAGAAAAGATTAGACACCATGAAGAGCTGCTAGCAACAGCTAAAAATATCCCATCAACTTGAAGGAGAGCTTGATCACTGTACTAACTGACTCTTTTCTTTCTGACTTGTTCACATGACTCACTCTATCCTTTAGTGACATTGCATTCTAAGATCAGGTTGGAGTAATGGACAGATCGGTTCCAACTATTATACTAGGTAGCAGCATCTTTCTAATTGTTGCTAAGGACTCATCTTGTGATAATGATCAGCCAGAGGATGACCTGACCATGGTCACCTGTTATGCAGACTGCAAACCCTTGCCTTTATTCCTATGAAATCCTGAGATTACTAAGGGAAAGACAGATTGTCCTTTGTCATCCCAGGATAAGTCCTTCCTGCCTTTACCATCATTTGTCCTTTCCAATTGCTTTCTAGGATGGGTACCAAACCTGCTCTGTCAGGAACCCCAAGAACAGAAATTTGGCCTAGCTAATAAAAATTGCTTTATATCAGATCTTAAATTTAAATGTTTCATTTGTTCTGAGTTGACTGTTATAGTGTTAGTTAGGAATCCTTTTAATTTTTCTACATATGTTGGCCCAATTTTCTCAGCAACATTTATCACAATGATTGTACTTTTTCTAATGCCTAGTCTTTTCACTCTTCCAAAACTCAGTAGTATAAGGGCTGGGGGGATGGCTCAGTGGTTAAGAACACTGGCTGCTCTTACAGAAACCTCAGGTTCAAATCCCAGGACCCACATGGCAGCCAACAACTGTATGTAATTCTACTTCCAAGGGATCTGACACAATCTTCTGTCCTCCATGGGCATTCAGCAGTGTGTTTCTAACCCTCCTGTGCACTACACTGACATTAGCCAGGAGCTCTGCATTATGACAGATTTTGGGAACGCCCCAAACCATTATGCTTTCTTAAGTACTCCACTATGGGGCAAAGGAACACCTTTCCCTTCCAGACACCATTCATTGCTTGTCTCTCTCCTTTGGATCATGAGAAATTCACTTTCAGTTTCTTTAGATTGTTACTACAATACAGCCTCAAGATCTGGAGTTTGATCTTGAGAACATAAAGAGAAAGAGGTTAATATTTTAATGTAACAACATTTGGTCCCAGTATAAGTTGGCTGTTGGGGAAGCTTGAAGAAGTAGTGAAATGAAGGAAGCTTAAGCCACACACTGTCCTGAATTTGGGCCTAATTTATAGGAATCAAGGTAATGTCTGAAATGATTGACACTTTCATGGCCCTGGTAGACCAGGATTGGGAACTATGAAAAGGAAGAAAAGATGGAACACCTCTAACATCCTAGACCAACTTCTATTTCTTTTCAAATCCTGCTTCCCAAATGGAAATCAATGGACAAAGAAGTCAAAAGATGAAATATTTTTCCACCCTGTGGAGCCCTGAGCCGTTGCTGTAATAGCTTACTTACCTCAAGGTAGTATAAAAGTGGAACCGAATTGTGTGAGGCAGGCAAGGAGTGGAGCTTCAAACCATCAGCCAACTCCTGTGCCTAAGCATTCCCCACACAGGACATGCCTGGACCTCAGTTTACCCCACCTCTTTTACAGTCATAGACCCTCAGAAATACCAGGGGGACTAGTTGTCTGAAGACCCCTTCACTTTAGGGGAATATTCAGACCTGTGTCTTCCCTCTGGGGAGAAATAGTACCTATGAGGAAGCAAGAAGACATACAGATGAGCTATCTGCTCAAAATCCTATTGACAACCAGTCTAGAGCACAGACCAAACCCAGGTCAGAAACCCACTGATTGGAATTATTAAAACCCCTACAACAAGGCCCATAAACATAGGATATGAGAGAGCATGTCCTCCTGAGCCGAAAGTTTGAGTTAAGAAAAATTTTAGTATGATAAAATCAGAAAAGTTACACAAAGAAAGGAGGAAAATTCTGCGTTGTTTCTTAACAGGCTAGTTAATGCTGTTAGAAAATCAAGACTACCTTGGCAAGCCACCTTCTGCTGTTGATCTTTGTCTATTAAACACAGAAAGTTATTAACACAGAATTGAATAACAAACTTAATCTATGGATCCCTTTTGGCTTTCACTAGGCCTTTTTTCCATCTCCAAGTTATAAAGGTGTAAACATTCAACTTTGTTTTCACCGAAAATTTCTCTGATTTAATGTAGTTGTATTGTGCATGGTCATTGTAAATATATCCATTTAGCTGTTTCTTATTCTGAGGGAAACATGGTACAGAGCAAACTCAATGAACCCCTAGAATTCCTCAAAATAACTAACAAAAATCTGTGGCCATTTCATTTTTACATTTTTTATTAAGATGGTGTGTGTGTGTGTGTGTGTGTGTGTGTGTGTGTGTGTGTATTTTTACATTTTAGGGTGATTTCAACTTACGTTTTGACATTGACTCTTAGTACTACTTTCTTTAACTTGTGTTCTTCTTTTTCAAAAATCATAATTTTCATGGCCTTCCTCCGGTGATGTCTGTTCGATCATTGCCTTAGTTCTTGCTCTGCAAGATGGTAGAAAAGTTCGTACTACTTGAGAGGATGGACTGGTTTTCAGAAGATACTTTGCTCCTGATGGAGAGGAAGTCTTGTCCTCAAGGATAATTGCTCTCATCAAATGAGAGAGGGAGAGAAGTGGGAGCCCTGATATATTCTTCCACTCCTAGAATCTAGAGTTGAAAGATTACAATGACTTATCTGTGATTTAGCATGCTTATGCACAGGGGCAGGAAGTAACCTGAAGAAAATATTCTAAAATCACAAAACAATGGCAGAGTTACACTTTAGTCAAAGAAATAATTGTAATGTCGCCAGGAGAGTTAATATATTTTGCCTTTGTTTCAGATACCGGTTCCTCTGGTTACATTGGAATATTGTTATTTTATTAATAATATGAAAGTTTTCAGAGAAATAAAACAGAAAGGAATCTCCAAAGTCAAAAAAGGGGGGTTATAAAATGTTATTGAGATAAAAATATAATTTTGCTAAAGAAATGTTAAGGCTTGCAAGTTGGCTCACTAGGTAAATGTGGTTGAGGCCAAGTTAGGTGATCCTTGCTGGATCCGGTTGGAAACATGGTGGAAACAGAGAAAAGCCTCCTTCAAGTTGTCCTTTCACCCTCACAAGCACGTGGTGGCATGTGCTCACCCAGCCACATAAACAAATGAATAAATGCAATTTTTAAAAAACAAGATTAAAGAATAATGGAAATATTGTCAGGTAAGGAAAGATTTTTATGGTAGTAGTTTCTAAAAGTACTTGCTAAAATGGAAGTACAAGGAAGTGGGGCCAACCCAGAGAATGTCATTGTAATATGCACTGCGCGAGGCAGTGGGAAAAAGATTGATGCAAGATAAAGCTTACTATCATATGTTTATTATTAAGCTTACTAAAACGAAATGTTATTAAATTTTATTTCTAAAGTCAGACTTTTCCTGGGAATGTATTTCATCAGTCCATCTGCTCCAGGAAAAGATGAAACGAGACTTCAGGCACTCAAATTAACTCTTGATTGTTTAGCTTGAGTTAATTTTTCTTTTAAAAATGATTAATATTTTATAGCACATGTATGCTACTTCCGATTAGTAAGACCCATGTAAGAATCTAAGCAGTCCAGTATTCTCTGAGCTGCTGAAGACCTTAGGCTGAGTAGACAGGCGAGATGTCAGTGCCCACAGATGGGACATGGAGCTGCCCACAGTGCACGATCAAATGCTGAAACATAGCAAAAGAAGGAAGGTGTCCTTGGATAACACTTTGATATTCAACAATATAGGTAAACAAGATGTCAACATGCAGCTCTGCCAGCCAGATTGGATTATGCATGGACACAGGGACCTTGAAAGCTGGATCTCATGGCAGTAGAAAATGGACATGAGCACATACTTGGTATAAAACTCTATTTCAACCACTTAAGTGTGCCTCCTGAGCATGGCAGGGGGTATACACAGAAAAGTGTAGGTGGGACACTGCCCCCATCCAGCTCATTAAGTAATTAAGCAGATAGAGTTTAAAAGTTGCAATGGAGTACTATGGACACTATCTGTAAGTCTTAAGAGCCACATGATGATGTTGGTCCAAAGGCAGGACACTGTACTCATCTGAGTCCCTGTGTCCCCAACACAGATAGAGCCCCATGTTCCTCAGGCACACTGGTTGGGGTTGACTTTGCTGCCTCACTACATGCTAGTTGAGATGCACTGGGTCCAGATATCGAGGCTCAAATTTGTGCTTCTCTTCACAGTCTGTGTTCTCTGCTGGCAGTAATAGGCTGGGGATCAACAGGGAAATAGCCAGGTCCTTTGTCTTACAGCAGAACACTCATCCCAAATCTTATCTCAGAACATACCACAGCCCTTCAACACTGCCAAAGTGCCCAAGAAAACCCACTAGGTGATATAGAGACCCATTTAGCCGAAAGCCATGTGCAC